TCACCATTTTTAAATCATAAAAACAGAGTTTTTTTCAGTTCAAATCCACCCCAAAAACAGTACAAAAAGATGGCAAAAACAAGTGTCAAAAACAAGCTTAAAGGGTAAAGGTTATACCTTTTGAAGTAAAGTACAAAATAGGCACAAATCTGGGCTTAAACCACCTTCTAGAGCTCAAAGGAAGCTCCAAGAGAGCTTCAAGCAACCTCAGCTCAAACATGAACCACTTTGATCAAGGATGTCTAGGCAAAGGAGAAGTGTATCTCTACTTGTATGCACAAAAGGGCAAGAGAGAAAGAAATCTACAGAGAGAGGATTTTTAGAGAGAGAGGCTCCCAAAATTTGCTAACCTTGAAATATGAGAGATATGGCCTCTATATATAGAAAAAAGAGAGCCTTAGTCGAAAATATCAATTCAGAAATATCTGGGGCAATGTGGAACAGCTGGAGGGGAAATATTTGCAAAATATCTGAACTTTTGGTGGCCAACCGGCCACTTTTAGTGGTCGACAAGCACAACTAGTGGCCGATAGCAAAAATCTGCTTTTCAAGCCCGACTTCAAATGGGCATATCTCCTTCATCTGGACACCTTTGCAAGTCATTCTTGAGCCTAAATTGAAGCCCTGGAAGTCTTATTTCCAATGGTGGCAGCCTCACATCAAAATTACAAGTGTGCAAAAAGATATGCCTCTTTTAGTGAACACTGCTCAGTCTTGATCCTAACCGAATTGATGCCTAACTTCAACCAGCCATATCTCCCTCATCCGGACTTGGCTTTAGGAGATTCTTGAATGCAAAATGAAGCCCCAGAAGTCTACTTTCCAATGGTAGTGGCCTCATAGTTGAAATCCAAGTGTACAAAAGGATAGGCCTAATTTAGCGAGAGCTGCTCGACTCTCTCTTTTAGCAGTTCATGCCCAACTTCTTCCCCAACTAGGTTTTTTTCCCTCTCCTCCAATTCTCTTCAACTCCAAATCTCTAAATAAGATGTTTTAAAGATTTTTTCAAAAAGTTCACCTCTCCTTCATTTATTCCACTTTGTCCTTACTCGGTTTACCGAAAAGCACAACATTTAACGAAATGCGAGCCTCAGAATATCGTAGAAACTTTTTTCAAAAATATTTTGAAAGAGAGGGTTTTAAGGTCTAAAATATTTTTGATCAAAAGGATTTAGTCCAAAAGGGGGTGTGAGGCTGGGATTTGAAGCTTCTCTTGCCGAAGAAATCGAACATTTGCACTGCACAACTTTCATCACCAAGTAAGCAATCAGCAGCGCCCAAGTCTTAAGGGCGATCAAAAATGGAGTGTCTACACATACTTAATGATGCGTTTGACAATAATCAGATCAGACTCTTTAGGACAGGCTTGGTAACAGGCACAAACACCTACACTAAATGTAATGTCAGGACGACTGCCTGTGAGATACAAGAGACTCCCTATCATACTCCTATAAAGGTTAGGATCAACATCAGTACAAGCGGAATCTTTGAAAAGGTGAAGACTAGTGCTCATGGGAGTGCATGCATGTTTGGTTGACTCAAGACCGAACTTTGACACAAGGTTTTTGGCATACTTATTCTGAGAAATAAACATACCCGAAGGAGACTGTTTAATTTGAAGACCTAAGAAATAAGACAACTCTCCCATCATACTCATCTCAAACTCATGTGTCATGCAATCCGAAAAATATTTAACAAGATGATCAGCAGTGGATCCAAACACAATATCATCAACATAAATCTGAGCAACAAGTATATGAGACTTAGTATGTTTCACAAATAAAGTCTTGTCCACACTACCTCTTTGAAAATCTTTGCAAAGTAGGAAGGTAGTAAGTCTATCGTACCAAGCCCGAGAGGCTTATTTCAACCCATACAAAGTCTTGTCTAACTTGTAGACATGGTTTGGACATTTAAGTACCCATTCAAAAAGGCACTTTTCATATCCATCTGAAACAGTTTGAAACCAAGAAAGCATGCAACACCAAGTAAAATACGAATAGATTAGAGGCGTGCAACTGGGGCAAACGTCTCATCATAGTCAACATCCTCTGCTTGTGTGTATCCTTGAGCAACCAACCTAGCTTTATTTCTAACCACAGTACCATTCTCATCAGATTTATTCTTAAAGATCCACTTGGTACTTATCACATTCATGTCTCTAGGTCTGGGAACAAGAGTCCAAACATTGTTACGTTCAAATTGACCTAACTCTTCATGTATAACATTGACCCAACTATCATCTAGTAAGGCTTCTTTTATATTTTTAGGTTCAATTAATGAAACATAACACATATGAGATACCTCCTCCCGAATTTGTCTTCGGGTTTTCATTCGATCCGAGACACTTCCAATCACCTGTTGAGTTGGATGATTCAGTTTCACCCTTGTTGATGTTTGGACTCTAGACTTGTGGTGACAGAAGCATTAGAAGTGGTGTCTCTTTGTGCACTCTTTGAACTCTGACTTACCTAAGAAGTTGGTGTTGTCCCAACTTCTTGTGCTCGGACCTCAGCTTCTCTTTGACTTAGTGGTTCAGTATCCAAGATTAGAGACTCACCATTTTCTTCCTCATTTATCATTGAAGTAGGAGAACCTATGTCATCTATAACCACATTGATTGATTCCATTAAAGATAAAGTTCGCAGGTTATAGACACGAAAAGCTCTACTAGTGGTTGAATACCCTAAAAAAATACCTTCATCATTTCGGGAGTCAAATTTACCCAAAGGCTCTCTATCTTTGAAAATGTAACATTTACTCCCAATAGTTTTGAAGTATTTTACATTAGGTTTCAATCTCTTTCACGATTCATATGGAGTTTGTAAAGTGTCAGGCCTTAAATACACACGATTTATGACATAAATAGCAGTATTTAAGGCTTCAGCCTAAAACTTTGGAGGAACTTTCTTACTAAGGAGCATGACTTTAGCCATCTCTTGAACAATTCTGTTCTTCCTCTCAACAACTCCATTTTGTTGTGGAGTAATTGGTGCAGAAAATTCATGCTTAATTCCATCCATATCACAAAAATCCGAGAACGAACTATTTTCAAACTCACGACCATGATCAATTCGGATTCTTATGATATGCCCAATAGAAACACCCTGTTCATTTTGGATTTTAAGGACTAAGGCCTGGAAAGCATTAAACGTATAAGATTTTTCTCTTAAAAAATTTACCTATGAAAAACGAGTAAAATCATTAACGATCAAAAAAATGTATCTTTTACCTCCAATGCTTTCAGTGCAAGTAGGTCCCATAAGATCCATATGAACCAATTTAAGAGGAAGTTTGGTTGTAAAGTTGTTCACCTTTTTATGAGGGGCACGGGTTTGATTCCTAAGTTGACATGGTCCACACACATGGTTCAGATTCTTACCCAGTTTAGGTACTCCTCTCACAAGCTCTTTGTTGGCTATCTTAGTTAGGTCTTTGAAATTCATGTGACCTAATCTTTGATGTCACAGATCAATGTTACTTATGATGGTTGAGTGGCAAGTGAGATTATTAGTGGTAACAATCCCGTAGCAGTTATCAGTTGTGCGAATTCCATGCATGACAGTATTTTCCTTTTTATCTAAAATTTCACATTTATTTTTTGAAAATAATACTTCATGATGGGAATCACACATTTGACTGATGCTCAAAAGATTTGCTTTAAGGCCATCAACAAGTAATACATTTTCAAGCTTAGGAAGACCAACCACACTTATAGAGCCCTTACTAATGACTCTAGAAGTACCACCATCTCCAAAGGTAACAATTCCTTCTTCATATTTTTTAAAGAAGGCGAAGTAGGATTTGTCACCTGACATGTGACGAGAACACCCACTATCAAGGTACTACATCTGTGACGTGCTTTTAGAGCAGTGTGAACAACAAAACAAGTCAAGTCATCCTTTCCCACCCATATCTTTTTAGTCTTAACAAAATCAGGACTGGCGGCCTTGGTGAATGTCTTAGCGTTGTGAACACCCTCATGAACCCTGGTGTTCTACCTAGACATGTAAGGTTGTCTCCTAACCCAAAAAGTTTTAGAATTTCTACTCTTTTGAGACACCTTTCCAAACAACTCAAAGCAATAAGGACGAATGTGGCCATACCTACCACAATGACGACAAACAAAAACAGGTTTTACCTCCATTTTGTTGATCTTATCTCCGTTAGGCAGATGAAGTGAGGGATCACCCTGGTGCACCTTCAACTTTCCCTTTGCTTGAGTCTTCAGATCATGTGATATAGAGGCTTGTCCCTCGTGAGCTATCGCAGTACCATAGCCTAACCCACTTTTGTCACAACCCATTTGTTGAGACCCGGGGATGTCTTCTAATGACTTGGAACCTTTGTTCCACATAGCAATTGTGGCTCTAGCATTTCTGAGTTTTTCATCTTTTTGACCAACCATCTCTTCCAATGTAGCTTGTAACATCTCAAGGCTTTCAATCTTCTCTTCAAATGTGACATATATTTTCAGAAGTTCACTACAACAAAAAAAAGTTTTTACGGCGCGCAATGCATGCCGTAAAAACCCTTCTAAGACGTGCAGGCGCACGCCATATTATGACCAGTCATGGAAAGTTATTCACTTTCAATGACATGCTTCTTACGCTGTTAAAAACTATTTAAGGACAGATTTTGTGCATCGTTGTTACTTTTTCTACGACATGCTATATTACGCCGTTAAAAACTATTTAACAGCAGATTTTGTGCGTCATTATTACTTTTTCTACGACTACTTTTGCATGTCGTTAATTGGTGAGACAAACAACGCTAATTGCACGCTGTAAAATATATAATACAACGACTTGCTCAGCCTGCCGTAGATAAGCGAAACATACCACGGCGTACATGGAATGTTGTGGAATATTTCATATAATGACCTAATTTGCTTGCCGTAGAATGTGCATTTTTTTAATTCAGTAGATTCTATATTTGACCTATTTTGTACAATCTAATATTACAAACAAGCTTCACAAAATATTAATCAGCCACCAAAATATTATTTCAACCATGAAAAATAAACTATATCTATAAATTATAAACATTCAAAAATTGTCAATATATCCATTTCAAACATCCAAAAGGACTATCCTGAAGTTATAAATTATCCAAAAAGTTATAAACCATCCAAAACTATACATATATAAGTTTGTAAATATTACCCAAAACTATTCAAAAATTATAGAAATCTATCCATCAAAATCCTCAAAACTATCCATAGAGTTCTTGTTCTAAGAGCAGCAATTTTTGATTTAGTTTTCTCATATTTTGATTTTGGTATGCTCGTGCATCAACTTTCGATGGCAATGCTCCAAATCCAAGCCCTCTTACCCTACCACGCCGTTCTAGACCAAACGCATGAACAATTGCATTATCTTTGATAGACGTTGGCCCTTCTTCTGTAGAAGGCTTGTGAAGTTCTTGAACCTTATTCTGCAATATATAACATTTATGATAAGGAACCCAAGCTAGACAATGTAACAACAAAGGTAATACAAACATTGGTTCATATAGAATAATCAACTCATTCTTCACAAAATGATTAAGAAGTTTGACATCTAATTTAAGATATTCCATTTCATTTTGAATGAACTATTTTTCTTTTAATTTCTATCCAAATTTCTTAATCATTGTTATCAATTGAACTAAATAGATCTAATATATAAAAAAAAATTACAGTCAAAATTGATTGAATTGAAATTACAGAGACCCAATTTTCAGAGAACAGCACCATAGATAAAAAATAAATTAATATCTTTATGGGCCTTTATTAATTATCAGCTAGCCACAAAACAACCCAAGACTACCTAGTCCAAACATCTGTTCACCAGCACAGCATATCAGCATATCATCAAGCATCTGTTCAACATCCATACCAAAACAAAACTGCACAACAACAGCAGCCCAAACAAGGGATGACCAAAGATGATTGTAGGAATTTAGAGTTGAAGATAGAGAGTGTTCTGTAAAGCAGTTTAGTGAGAAGAGGTAGTTGAGAGGCCCCCAAAACAAAACTTGGTTGAAGGGAGGGGGCTTGGAACTTTTTTTTTCTGTTCTTTTCTTTTTTGGGTTTTATCATACCGAGAGTAAGACCACCATATTGATTTTCGAAGTGGTGAAGCAGCAGCATATCAGGAATATATGTACAGGAAATCTTGGAGAAAACAAAATGAAATTCTGGCACTCTTTCCTTTTGCTCACCCAACTCTTTTTTTATGTGATGGATCAAGTTTTACTAACAAATTCAAAAATAAAAAATAAAAAGAAAAAAAGAAGATATCTGCATCTTATATCCATGATGAAAATATTCGAAGATTCAAGCCCCAATATGCCACCACCCAGTCTAGCAGCAATTTACATCAAATGATCTGATCTAAAAATAATACATCAAACAAAAACTAAAAGATTTAGAGATTGGACCAGGAGTTGTAACGGAACAACATCATGGTGTGAAATTGTTTTATGGATTTAAATTATAAAAAAATCACGAAGATCTAGAGGAAGAACCATTTGGGCTGTCGGGGAATAAATCATAGCCCAAATAAACATAGATGGAAAACAATTGAGAGAATGTCAAAATGTAACACAAGAAAGAAAGGGCTGCAAAGCAAAGGTGTGTGACTTCTTCTTCATCCCCTTCAAAAATCCCTTTCACAGCTCCCACTTTTGATTAAGACCTGTTTGTTTAAGTATTGATTAGAATAAAAAATTGTCAAACCCACTCTCATTGCTTCTAGGATAAGGATAGGGACTTCACGAGACCTCCTAAAGCTCTGAGCCTAGTCCTTGCACTTTACTGATCTGTTACAGACCCTTTTGGGAGGGGTTGTTTTGATGGTGTTGAAATAATGCTCCAAAGCAAACCATTATTTAAAAAATAAAATAAAATAATAAATTTTACTATTTTAACTAATAAAAATTAGAGTTTGATGAAATGGTTTACTAATCCATCATTGGTATTAGGGTTCTTCTGTCATCTATTGTATATATCGTCCATGCCCTAAACAAATTCAATGGCATAACTAAGAATTTCATTCAACTAGTTATCATCAATGTCATTGTATTAGATTTTTTTTATTTCTAAAACAAAATCAACTTTCATATGATGCATTGTAATTTTATATATTCCCTATAAACAAAAGTAATTCAAACTTGTCAAATCACATGAAAAACAAAAATTTTAGACACCACTTTAGCATATTTCCGCAATTTTTTTATTTTTACAAACTTTGTGAAATATCCTTATATCTAAGATAATGGGAAGCACAAAAGTAAAAAACAATTAAATTTTATAGGAAGACAAATTTGTTCACCCAGTGCTGTAAAAATAAGGAACAGATAATTTTTTCAACATCCATACCAAAACAAAACAGCACAGCAACAACAGCCCAAACAAAACAGCACAGCAGCCCAAACAAAACAGCATATCAGCAGCCCAAACAAAACAGCACAACAACAAACAACATAGTAGCAAAGTAGCAAAGAACCTTATTGAACACTTGTACAATTATATGTTGAATAGAATTGAGTTTGAGATATTCATATATTCTCAAATCTTGATTAACTAGCCCACTAGAATTGAGTATTGTTTGCAGATTACTATTCAAATTGGTGACTTCCTTAATCTGCATCAATTGCTTTTTACTAGTTATCCTTTATGACTGCTACTTTCTTATGCCTAGGGGTGTGCATAATACCGCCAAAACCGCCGAAACCGCCAAAACCGCACCGAACCGCACCGCCAAGGCAAATTCATTATTATTTGTCTTTTCCATTGTTTGAACGCATAAACTGGATTGCCACATGCATCAAAAGAGTTTAATTTCTGTAGTGAAAACCAGAGAGGTTGTATCTTCTTTCTTAAAGGAAATCACCATAGAACCATCTTGCATTTGGATGCAAATAGGATTAGATCACTTTCATATGAACACCAAACTTTAGTATGCTAAGGAAATGGGAAAATAAAGCATTCTACATAGTGAAATGGAAATACAATTTCCTGTTTGGGTCCAAACCCTAAACTGAATTGCACAATCACAACATTCCAAAAGGACGAGAGTAATTTGCAATCCTAATTCAGCATAATCTCTGTAATTCATGAACTAAGAATTCATAATTACATGACAGTAATTATTTTTTCCATCAATCCAATTTTATTGAGGTAGCTAAATTGCAATAGAGGGTTGGGTATAGATCTTTTCATGAGGTTAATTATATGGCGAATCCACAATTCACCGAGAAATACATACAATACATGCAACATATTTAGGTGGACTTATCTGGTTAAAGATCTATAATCATAAACCAAGAAGCTGTATAACCAGTTGTTTGACTGGCATAAAGGTCAGGTTTCAAATCTGTAATGAGATTCTTCTGATGCACAAAAGGAGAGAGAATTATTGTAAGTTTGCTACCAGAATCTCGCTTGGTTTACAGTATTAGAGAGTTAATTACATTTTGATCCCCTCAATCATAAAAATGCATCACTTTCATCTCCTCTTGCTCCCCTCCAGAAGGGGGCATTGTATGGTTTTCATAGTTGAGGGGGTTAATATGTACATGTTTATAGATGAGGGGGGTAATGTAATATTAACAAATAGTAAATGGGATCTTGGTGTAATTGACCCTTTATTGGATTTAGCACTTACCTCCTTTTTATTCATATAATTTGAGTACTTTGATATCATCATGAAATAATTCAGAATAGACTTATCTAAAATTACTCATACTTTTCATAAGGTTCTGTTCATGGTGGAAGTTGCAAAATATGTAGAGGAAAGAAGGGAAATTTAAACAAAAAAAGAAGGGAAATTTAAACAAAAGCCAAAATAACTTCTAGGTCATAATCATTTACATTTTAGTGTTTCAGATTTAAGATAACACAAAAGCTAGTCATCCAAGCAGATTACCCATGTATTCTGATTGAATGGCAAGTCAGACAGCTGTGAGCTCTTGCAGAGTGCACTAAGCATAGAGGATTAATACCTAAATGGAAAGAATATATCCCGAAAAAAGACATACCTATCATTATTGTCAGTTTGAACACTACCGAGTCATTTGATAATTTCCATTCCTCTGCATACTCTTCCAAAAATTGTGTGTTTTCCTAGCCAAAAGATAATCATGAATTACAGCATTATCAGCTAAGAACAAGGCTACAAGATATATGTACCTAGTGAAGATCAAATAGAAGAAATGAAAGAATAAACATGCCATTCTCACACCATGCTGAGATTTAATTCAAAACAAAGCCCAGCAATGACAAACCAGATGTTGGCCTAAATTGGAACCCTGCGGAAATTTTGAGGTGTTCTGCATGAAGGGTTCTCTATCAAAGATATTGCATGCAAATAGCTGAGTTGAAGAAGAGAAAGAAAGGGTGGTGTTCTGTATGACAGTTACAGTGGCAAGTAACATATGATAGCTTAAAATACAAGATCTACGTGTAGCATTTCTGCTTCTGCCACACAATGAAACAAGTACAAAAACTAACCCTTTGTTGTTAATATGCCAACTAGATGTTGATTGTTATAGCCAAGCATCCTCTAAAGTGCCAGACAATAAAAAGTTTCGGTATTTTAGCAGAAAACCATAGGTACTATTGTGAAATATACAGATTAAGTCTAAACCCCACATATAAGGGCCAAAATAGTGATTATGTGATACTTAAACCCTCTGTTATCAGAATCTTACGATTCGCGATTTGATTCACAATTCGATATGCAATTTTTGCAAAATCGATACGAATCTATGAGTGAATTTATTTTGGAAGTGAATCTCTAGTGAATCGCACGATTCACAATCGTTTCACGATTCGATTCACTTTTCACGATTCATGCAATTTTTGAAATTATTGTGTTCGACATATTTTCGACTCATTTTTTCCATCTTTTTAGTGAAAATGACATAACACAACTTCTAATAGCATTTAATACCAAAATAACGAACATATATATATGATTTGTTATTATTTTAGTAATCATGGAGTTTTTTATAGGATCCAATCAGATTCAGTTAAACTTAACATATTTTTAACATTTCTTCTCATTTTTTTCCCCTTCAAAAAATTGTAATATATTTTCTAAAGATATTTAAGATTAAAGTTACACTATGAATTATCTATTACTATTTTATTAAATTGAATATTACACATGTGAGATCAGTTATACCTTTTAAAATGTTTTAGGCTTTAAAATAAAATATTCTAAATAATTCTTTCTTATTATTGCTCACTCTTACTTAGAAAAGTATATATGCTTATTGTCCAAATATCAATATCGTTGTTAACTATTGTTACTTTAGAAATTAATAGTTTGTCTATTTAGTTATGATCTTTATTAAGAATGGTTGATAAAAAATATCTATAAAAAAAAAAAAAAAAAAAAAAGGTAAGATGGTGATTTTACATCGGAACCTTTGTTAATTTCTTACCTATTAAATTACGTGATTATCATTCAAAATAACATTTTTGTTGATTTAAGTCTAAATATTTTATATTCATAAGATATATTTAATATCTAAATGTGTAGATATATGTTTTTAAGTAATTTAGAAAAAGTGACCGAATCTTTACGATTCACGATTCGATTCGATTCGCGATTCGGTACGAGGCCATTTCGATTCACGATACGAATCCCGATTTGACAACTATGCTTAAACCAGATGCCCTTCACCAGCATGAATGTCAGCAATAAGCTAAGCAAATTAAAAATAAAGGAAAAGGATCAAAGAATGTGTCTTCTTGTTAAGCATCATGAAATCATCCTTCTTGTTGACACAAAAGCCTATAGCATCTGACTAAATATGCAAAGTTCACATGTTTAGACATTATTCTAAACAGATTGACAAAATAAATCTACCAGTTACTAAGCAGAATCACATATTTACCATGTAGTGACGGTGTAGGTGCCAAGGTAATAAAGAATTGGCTTCCATTGGTATTTGGACCAGCATTTTCCATGGATATAATGCCAGCTCCAGTATGCTTTAACTTTGTTGTAATCTCATCCTTGAACTTAGCACTGCAATAAATTAAGAAACAAGTCACCCATTAGTCAAAGATTTGAAATCAGAAAACTTCCAGTTACTTCAAAAATACATGCAAGTAGACTACGTTTCAGTCAATCAAAGGCCTAATGATATGAAGTTACGATATATCTAATTAGCTACACATACTTCAACCACTATTATAGGCCTTTTGTTACAATATCAACCATTTAAAGATTTCTTTGCAAACAGTCACGAATTAAGAGCTGAGAAAAAGCTTGTGGCTACACTGTGCTTAATATAGACCACCCAGAAAGTTGGATCAGTCATAACGGGCACTCTTAGGAGCACTCACCTAAAACAAGGGCACTAAAAAATTGCATACAGAGCTCAAAATCATGTAATGGGATAAGAGTTCTATACTTGGAGAACAGAAATATTAAGCTGAAAGCCTATACAAAAACAGTTTGGACAGAATCACTTTATGCTGGTCAAGATAAAATAGCAATTTGATATAGCATAGAAGCGGCATTGAGAGATACGATAGATACCACAGTTTATTTTTTGATCAGTTTATAAAATTTTTGTTGTTGATAAAAAAAAAATAATTTAAATTAAATTAAAAGATACATACCACAGTTTATCAGCTCATGCTGTAGGTTGGATTCTTTTGAGAATTAATCATTACAAATAAGACGTCTAAGAATCCACTTAGTAACTAGAAAGCAGCCATAATAAAAAACATGTGAATGTATTAAAGTAGAATTTATTGAGGAGAAGCTCTGGTCTTGGAAAAAATTGTACTCGTTTCTTCGTTTTTTCTTTTTGCAAAATGCCTTTTTCATGAAGGACTTCTAACAAAAATCTACACCAAATAAACCTAAACAGTAAATATCAAAAACTAATGCAATACCTCCACAGTAACAGAAGAAAACTTGGTTAAGATATATCTTAATAGTTAGAGTACATTGCAAATGAGAACGCATTGTATGTTTACTAAAAGACCATATCCCTTCTGCACAAAGAGAATACTTGAAGACCATTTGTTCAACACAAACCCATGTATCCAATGCAAACAGAGTCAGTGAACTTCTTGATGACCTTTTTCCGTATCTCCCTTGGTCATTTGAATGAGATGTTCAGGAATTTGGAACATAATGGGTTATGCCTCACTCTCTACAAACATACATTGGGTGAATAACAATGCACACCATAGAGTTTGAAAGGCATAATACTAAACTGTCCTTCTTTTCTTTTTTCTTTTTTTTTTGGTACAATAGAGGCTTCAGAACGAAGTACACAAAAATGAGCATTTTTTTTTTCTTTCAAAAGATGAGCAACTAGTATCTTCTCCACCACTCGAGTCTAGACATAATGAATCATGATACAATTTCCATAAAACTTTTTCAGGAGATCATCTAATGGTTTCAACTTATACAAGTCCAACAAAAAAAATTAAAATAAAAAACTTAACAACACCATTCACATATATTCCAGTATTGATCATTTTTTTTTTTTTTGGTTGGGAGGGGAAGGGAGGGAATAGTTAGCTACTTATTTATTACAAAAATAAACAAATAAAATAAAAAATAAAAACAAAAACAAAAAAACAAAAAATGAGAACATACCCATATCTAGTTATAACAATTTTCATTTTTTGATGATAAGAGCATCACATGTTGCTTTTCCAGCAGGTAGTATACTCGTGAGCAAGTTTTTGTTTTTACTTCTAGAGCTTTCTCAAATAAGGATTCACTATTTCATCCCAAACTTCCCATTCCTACAACCACCAGGCCTTTAGCACTAGTGAGAGCACCATCATTACAATAGAGGCTTCAAAAGAGGAAAAAAAAACATTTCAATCAAGAAACTCATGTACATAACTAGATGCGCTGTTTGGCCCCTAAGAAAACACTCTGTTTGGTAGCCAAGAAAAGAATCTAAACAACCCAGAAAATGTACCTGTGTTCTTCTTCTCTCCATGGAGTTCCTTTCTCGTTCGCAAATCTGAGAGAGAGAAAGAGAGATGCCCCAAATGAGATGTGTTTAGGGCAAATCTGTGTGTGTGCGAGAGAGAGAGAGATGCCCTAAATGAGATGTGTTTAGGGCAAATATGTGTGTGTGTGTGTGAGAGAGAGAGAAGAGAATAGAAGAGTATGAGTTTGTACCATTCCTTATTTCCCTCCCTGTGCCCGACGCCGTTAAGTGGAGTTGTACCGACGATGGATGCCCTTCGAACCGGTGTCTGATGATTAGAATCTATTAGAAGCCCAAATGGTTGATGTATATATTCTTTTTCCTAAATATTTTTATTTTTTTTTTTTTGTTTCTTTGGTGGATTGGCGCGAGAAATTTCATTTTGGCACTTCTTTGTTTTTATCATACAATTTACAAGGTACGTTGTCTATCGTAAAAATTTGAATACTTTTAACGTCAGGGTTGTGTGTATTGTAAAAAAGAAACACTTTTTAATGGCAGGTGTTGTGTATGCTGTGAAAAGTGAAAAGTGAATACTTTTTACAGCTTACACAACGCCCGCCGTTAAAAGTATTGCACTTTTTACGATTGAGAATCTTAGTTCATTATCGAATCTTAAACCTTTTTTTTATCTAAGTTTATGTATAATGGAATGTGTTTGGAGTTTGCCTTGCTGTGTTAATTAGTAACGGTACAATTATGTTGGTTTGGATGCTCGCTTTGACAATGGAATGATCACTACTCACGAATAAACAAATAGTTTGATGGGAAGAAACCAAGTCCGGAAAGTGATGATGAAAGTACATTAGACCAGTTCCAATTAAGTGTTCGTTTTTTATTGGTCTGAGGATCTTATGTTGCTTCAATTCATGTACCTTGTTTTGATTGAAATGTAGGAATATGAATTACAGACAAGAAGCCAGCATGATTTATGTTTGATTTGTTAC